GATTACCTGGCTTATTGGACTGACAACAATCATCCTTGGAGTACTTTTTATCTATGAGGTGGTGGTTATGGTACCGATTCACTTGGCAGACTGCCAGCATGAGGTGGTGGACGGCAACGGGATTGTCGTCCTTGCCGAGGTTGGTGGGGACCGTCTGGGCCCTGCCGTCGAGATGGAGATGAGACTTAGTACGGGTTCTATACATGTCTAAAGGCGCAAACTGTTGTATATTTATTTATTTATGTCTCTATTTCCGTAAAATGAGTTACTATCTGGGTATATGGCGCTTTCTGTTTGTTTCTACCCATTGGGGTCGTTTTTCCTTTGGCCATCTTGCGTCGGCAATGGCTGTGTCTTGTACATAGGTTGACACCTGTAAGACTTGCATCTTACATCTACTTTTGGGACCATGCTCCGATACAGAATTACGAGCCTATGCACCTAAAACTTCCACCTCGCTCAAGCTACTGTCCGTCTAGTGGCCAATATATGGAATAATATCAGGACTGAACCAGTTATGGTTCTTGAATTATGGCATATGGCTCGTGAAACTATAAGCATATACCGATATTATAAATAGAGAAGGAGCAGACGTGGTTCGAGATTTACCGTACAAATCTATTGCAATAAATAAACCATAAAAATAGTGCATTAGAGCTGGGAAAAAAACTAGCACAAACTCGTGCTACGCACTCGTTTTCGCAATTCACTTTGATAAAATGCTCAACACCTGTTCGGACCGCTCATTTCTCTCCCTCACGGCCAAATCGCTTCTCCCGAGCATTGGCTCCAACACGGTCTCCGAATACGGTGCCTTGGTCTGGGATGGAGGGTTCTGAGCCTTGACGGTGTTGAAATACGACTCGTAGATGTTCCCGTCATATCTGCCCAAGGGTGAGTTGATGATAAAGTCCGGCAACAAGAACGCATCGGTCAACCCAATCGCCTGCGGTCTGACCTGGTCGTTCAAGTTTCTCAACCGGCCCTGCACGTGCGCGAGAGTACCGGAGGAGATGATACCGTGCTGCAAGAAGAGCGATGAGAAGGTGGACAACGTGGAGAGCGCATACAACTCGGCCATGAGGATCAACTGGCTCTGGACCTTGCCACCGATGGCCGGATCCTGAACCTTGGCGAGGTAGCTGCTTAAGGCGTAGGTGTGGGCAAAGATCTTGGAGAGTGAGACCTGGATGACCCCGATCGCGTCCCAGTTGCCGTTTTCCTTGGCCAACGTCTTCACCCCGTGGTCTGCAGTGCGGATCACGAGCGCCTGGTACGCCTGCAAGACGGACTTCAAGTCGCCAATTGAACTGTGCACCAACACTTCCGACTCGCCGCCCAACTCAGCATAACGGTTGAGGAACAGCAACTCGCCGCTGGCCTGCTTGCCCTTGTGCACCTTCACAAGCGACTGCATCAAGGACCTCCCAGCCGACATGCTCAACACGTTGTTGTCACCTTCCCAGGTGCATTGCACGACCCAGTCCTCGTAACCCTTACCGAAACCGGTGTAGGCGGAGTAACCGTGACCACCGCATGACTGACGACACTCATCGATCAACGACGCAGTCAACCAGGTGAAGGTGGCCTTGAGGGAGGCGGAGACCACAAACAAGTTTTTGGTTTCGTTCATGGCGGCGCCCATCTTCTTCGGGTCGCGAGATGTGACCGCAGCGTCCAACGCCGTATTGACCGCAACATTGTACTCCGCCAACTTGTGCGCGGTAGAAGACATCACGTAAACCGTCGCGAGGAATGGCAAGAGACGGCTCTGGTGCAACGGGTAGTCCAACAACTTGATCTCGCCGCCGTCTGCACTCTTGCCGAACTGGCGTCTGCCGATTGAGTAGCGCAACGCAATGGTGATGAAGCGCGAGCCGAAGCGGAACGAGTCGCGTACCATAGACACCCTGCCGCCGACAAGCGCTGCATACGACAACTGGTTCAACGGGGAGTCAGTGACAGCCCCGTCACGTGTAACCTTTGCATACTTCTGCAACATGAACACGCGCGGAATGCGCACGTTATTGAACTGGATCCAGCCGTTGTCAATCCCATCTCTGCCCATCTTGGCACCAATGTCTCCGACCGTCACACCCGGCATCAAGTCAAAGTTGGCATCGCGCAAAGGCACGACAAACTGCTTGACGCCGTAGTCCTTGCCCTTGACCACAAGGCGTGCGTAGACCGAACAATGCGTTGCGGAGTGCGCGGCGCCGCCGATCCACCACTTGGTCGCGCCCACGTGCGGCGTCGTGACAACAAACTCATCAGTCGCAATATCAAACGTCGCGGTAGTCTCAACGCCCGCAACGTTAGACCCGTGTGCAAGTTCCGTCATCCCAAAGCACCCGTAGATACCGCGCACGTACTGACCCATGGTCGTTTGCAGCCAGTACTTGTACTGCTCCGCGGTCCCGTTGCTTTCCACACAGCCGAGGAAGAGCCCGAGGAAGATCCCGATACGGGTAAAACCTTGCGGGTCCAACATGTTGTACATTTCCAAGCGTTTGGCGCCCATCTGCAGCCCTGGGTAGCGCCCATCCATCTCGAGGTATTGCGCGATGCGCGCGATCTTGCGCGCGGTGTTCTCACGGTGCTCGCTCTTATCCGCGTCATAGTAACCTGGTCCTGTGTGCATAATTGGGTCACGTTCAAACTGGAAGTACACCTCTTTGATCGCCTCTTGCACGCGTGGGTCACCTCCCTCCAAGAAGAGGTTCATCTCCTGGAGGTCAAAGGTTGTCTGGTCTCTCTCCTTCTGGATTGAGGCCGCGGGGTTTGGTGCGGTGCCGTAAGTAATGGATGCCATTTTATAGTGTGTGGTGTGGGGAAGAGAGCGGTATTTATTGCAGGCATAGGCATATTTATACTAAATTTTGTGCAAGTTAGATAACCCCAGTAAACCCCACGTGTCCGGCATACAGGGTTTCGGATTTCGGTATTGCGTGGGGCGGACCCCGCAGCCGAGCCGGTCCCCGCAAAACGGTTTCTCTGTGGGGGCGATGAAACAGACAAAGATTGAGATTGAAAACGTACATAGAAGGCACTATCCTAAGAGCTGTAGAAATTACGTCGTTAACTGAGAAGGCATGTTAAGGGTACGCACAAAAGAGCGTACCCTTAATATGCGCTACTTTTTTGCCCTTCCACGGATGACGGGCTAGTGATGAAAACCGGACGGGTGGTGGATTAATCACCCGAGCAGACTAGCCCAAAACCGATGATACTGATTTTTTTCAATCGCTCTGGAAGACCTCGGACCGCTGAAAGCTTTCCGACACTGGTACCCCGCAACGTCTCGTCAGTCGCAAAACCCGTTAATCCCGAAAAGGTTAAAGCCTCCCATATAGACGAGCGTTTGTTCTCCACGAGTTGTAGTATGGTTAAACATAAAGTAATTAGGAACTCCATCCTCGAGCTCCACAGTTAGCACAAAAATTAGAATTAATACGGTCATTTATGATATACACATGTATACCTATACTGATTGAGATCTATGTCAGACGTTTTTTTAAAAATACAGGAGTATGCATTACGACTAAAAGATATGAATTTGTACTTGAGAGGTTGTGGCCCCCTAATAAAATTCTATAAAGTTAAATGCAAGGTGAAAATGCAAGGTGAAAATGCGAGAGCAATGCTGGAAAAGGTGAGACATAAAGTATCAGACCATAGTGACTGCCGGCCTCTCTTCTTGACATCCGCTATGGTCCGTCCCATCGGAGCTGGTCATGGTTAGCTCATCCTTGCCGTCTGAATCGTGGCCGCTTGCTGCTGATTCATACGGCCTGTACAAGTCTCGCCAAGGAAATTCGTACACCACGCCCATCATGCAGCCTAAGACTACGAACAAAAGACTGAGCGAGTACATCAACCCGGCAATCTTGAAGAACAAAATGTGGGGGAAGGTTTTGTGGTTTTCGAGCAACGATAACGCCATGGTACCGAGTGGGAAAGTCATCGACCAGAAACCCTTGTGGTAGGCAATCCACCTCCACCCGGTGATGCTGTTATTCTGGGGCGAAACCATGATGTAGTATGCAATTGAGAACAAGGCGATGAACGTAAAGAAAAACCCCAAGCTCATGAGAAACAAGGAGACAAACACCGTCAAGTAGCGCAAGCCCCAGCACAAGTAGAGCACTGCGTTAGGGGTGTTGGTTAAACCCTCCATCATGAATATGGACAGATACTTGTGGGACTCCTGGGTCATGAACGCGAACACGTTTCTTCCCAAGATGAGTACCCCGTAGCTGGACTGCCCCAAAACACCAACAGGCAAAAACCCGGTAAACACCATGCACTTGACGGGGAACTTGTAGACGTAGAGTTTCCACAAGTAGATGGCCATCAACATGAACGCCAACGCCATGGCGACACTCCACAACATGGCGGTAACTAAGAGGGTCGAGAACTGGAGCTGCGCGGGCAAGCTCGGCCAGATGACGTTTCCGGCCGACGCCACGACCATCATCGGGACGACCGGGAGAAGTAAGGGGGAGTTGAGGGTTTGCGGCGTGATTTTGTTCGCATACTTGTTCGTCTCTCTGTTCTGGTCCAGCGGCGGCACAAAGTAAAAACTGGTGATCACGAAGCAGGTAAACAATGACGTGACGACATTGATCCACCAGAGGGCATACACAAACACAATCACCTTGGTTCCGGTGATGGCATGAATGTAATTGATGATCGTGGTAAAACCCATAGACAAGCAACCAAGAAAACCGGCGAGGGACGGGTTTATGAACCAGCGTCGTGTCCTCAGCCATGGGTTGCGCGCTATGGCGATGCAAAAGGCGGCAATGAGTACGATGAATACAAACACATTGATGACAAAGAAGATGAGGGAGACATCGTAGAAGAACCGGCGGAGGATGGGGTAGTCGTTCTCGAGGATGTTTGCCGTCACCCCCATCCCCATGTTAAGAATGAAGTATGCGGGATGAAAGTTGGTGATGAATTTGGAGTAGAGATTGGCACCATTTATGGAGATCCTATAAGGGAAGAATGCGTGCTTTTCTGGCATATTAAGGTGTATAGACAGAGTTAGTATCAGTGTGACTTCGATAGAAGCTTTGTGTAGTAAGGCAATGATGCAAGATTAGGTGGAGAGGCAAATTTTTCACCGCCACAGGGGGCGGGTGCAGCGCTTTTTATAGGGAAACGCGTGAAATGACGCATACTCTACGCAGTTTTTTGTCATGTTGTATTCTGCAGTGGCGGGAGGAGAGTGGCGGCGCGTGGCGGCAGTCGAAAAGCGGCATTTAATTTGGGGCTGACCTGACTACATGCGCCGCAAGCTTCCCAAAATGGATATGGTGGGCGCTTGCCCCTGGTCCAGAGTGGTTTTCTGGCTTGCTGCGCCTCTCCATTCAAAAAGAGCGAGGTGGGGCTGGAAGATATGGCACCAGAGGAACTACATGACAAAAGGTTGGAGAGTAGAGTCTGGTTGGCATCCAGACAAAGGGGCTAAAAGAGAAGATACCATAATGGGAGTGATTATAATCTGTTCGGTATCCGTACATCGATGATATCTTTGTGCGAGGCGGCTAGGGCATCCGGGCTAGTTTTAAATTTACCGCATGAGCCTCATACGCCCATAAGGGCAAAAAATGGCGCATGCACAAGGCGTATTGATCGTATTTCAAACGTTTCTTTTGTTGGGCTATCGCTTTACGGTCAAAATATACATCCATAATTCCTTACGAGCTGGTGTCATAGCGGTGATTGAAGTTTAGATAGGCCAAGAGCCAAGTAATCTGCGACTATAGAACTGTGGCCTGCCGTTTCAGTAGACAGCCAGATACTTGAATACTTGTCACCCTAAATCTTGAAGAAATTAACATATGGTTAAATTTTCGATCTTACTCTCCCAAACATCTCACTGTAGCTTAAACAGAGATGTGATAAAGGTAACCGGGAGAAGACATATAGCCTGAACGGCCGAAAGGATAAAACTGGCCGAGATGATTTTCAAGTCCCGCATCCGTAAGCGGCTTCCAGTACAAATCTCAATACATAGCTTCCAATGGTGAAGGCACGGATAGGGCTAGAAGTTGATCTGATATTTTCAACGGCAGAGCCCACGGAAAATAAATTCCGGAGCGATACACATATCCGAACGGATAATCTCGGTAAGTTCTCACCAAGACTCAGGTTATCAACCATCTGATATGGTTTAGGCCTCGTTCACCTGTAACTTGGCTCTCACATTTTTCTCATACAACTGCTATCAGTGTAGAATCCTGCAATTGTACACTGTATCAATCCTGGTGCCTTGTTGGTATACAGACGTTGCTGTCAAAAGACTAGCCAATACCTATTTTTACCTAGGATGAAGTTTGTAGGTCGGCTATCGACTTGAGTTAACCTTAATTTTCAAGACTCTCAAAGCTGAAAATCTCACCCCCACCAGCGGTAACATAAGACGCTAACCTGTAAGCTGACAAGTCACGCACTGAAAATAGCCTTTGCCGAACGCAGAACCTAGGCATAAGCCGCTCATATGCACTGTCGAATGTGACGTTATACAGTGCGCCGTTTGACAGGGGCAACACCACGTGGGACGACCCTTGCCAACCACACAACCTAACACCTTATGAAGCTTCCCTCAAAGCTCAGTCTTCATTGCTGTCCGGGTCTCACGCTTTTACGACTAGGTACACTGCTTGGCTCCACACCACGAAACATAAGCATTTCCCCTCGAAGGATTTGTATAAGAACGCGCCAAAAGCCAAGACATTTACATGCAGAACGCTACTGCAGCCGCGAAAAAAATCTTCTTCGGAGGTTCAGTTTGTAAGCTTCCTGTCACGAGTTGACATATTACGCCCAGGAAAAGAAAATAGAGTGCCAAGTGACCATACGGCAATGCTTGGCAGAGCAGACTCGCCGTCACACCTGTTTACGCATGGCGGCTCCGATGTAGAGAGCGAAATCTGGACCGCTCTGTAGAGTCCCTTCATATCCAAACAAGTTGAGGGACAAATACGGCGTTAGTAGAAGGGTCCTAAGATGACGTTAAAGTCACCTCCCCGGGGACGAATGACTAAACCTCCATATATACCAAGCCTGGCTACAGATATATACAATGACGTTACTGACGGTCTCAAACCTTTGAATTCCGTCATTTCTGTGCCATCCCAGAATTCCTTGGCATAAGAATTTTTTTTTCCCTTGGCAACCTGCATTACATTTGTCTTGTCCTCAATCTCTAAGTATACCATCCCAACATGATCTACCATTCTCTCAGGACACTATAGCCGCCGTTCCCCGCGGGGGCCGAAATCTCTCCACCTAGTGTGTACAAGTCTAGCTCGTATATATAAACCGTTCCTTATCTTTCGGAAGGAACGCTGATAACCTATTACACCACAAATATGAACCTGAAAGAGAAGGTTGACCAAGTGCCGGCTGAAAAATCCGAGCCTGAACTTTCTAATAATATCTGTATGATTTACGATGAACAATCTAGTACCGACTTCATCGAGAACGATGAGGGCAGGTACCCAACTCAAGAGGAATTAAAGACTTTGCGTCACGTCTCCGAAAAGATTCCCTTATCCTGCTGGTTAGTTGCGGTTGTTGAATTGTGTGAGCGTTTCTCCTACTACGGGTTGTCCGGTCCTTTCCAGAACTACATGCAAAACGGTCCTGACGATGTCCCAGCCGGGATCTTGAACTTGGGGAACCAGGGCGCCACCGCCTTGTCCTACTTCTTCCAGTTTTGGTGCTATCTCACCCCGATTTTCGGTGCTTGGGTTGCCGACACCTTCTGGGGAAAGTACAAATCCATCTTTGTGTTCTGTCTTGTCTACTTTGTGGGAATCCTCATCTTGTTCATCACCTCTGTTCCATCCATCACCTCTCCGTCCGTGGCCCTTGGTGGCTATGCAACCGCAATTGTTATTATTGGTATCGGTACCGGTGGTGTCAAGTCCAACGTTTCTCCGTTGATTGCCGACCAGATTCCAAAGACCAAGCCAAGAATCCACATCTTGCCAAAGACCGGCGAACGTGTCATCTTGGACCCCGCTGTGACCACCCAGAACGTGTTCATGTTCTTCTACTTGATGATCAACATTGGTTCCCTTTCCGTCATTGCCACTACCCAGTTGGAAAAGCACAAGGGTTTCTGGGCCGCGTATCTCTTGCCATTGTGCTTTTTTGTGGTTGGTATCGTTGTTTTAGCCCTTGGTAAGAACCAGTACGTCAAGACCCCACCCTCCAGCACCGTCATCGCTGACAGTTTCCACATCATCTGGATCGGTATCAGAAACAAGTTCAACTTCGACACGGCCAAGCCAAGCAATAGCCCAGACAAGGGTTACCACTGGGACGACCACTTTGTTGACGAAGTAAAGAGAGCCATGGTTGCCTGTAAGGTGTTCTGTTTCTACCCGATCTATTGGGTGGTGTACGGTCAGATGGTGAACAACTTTGTTTCCCAGGCCGGTACCATGGAGTTGCACGGTTTGCCAAATGACATCTTGCAGGCCATTAACTCTATGGCTATTATTTTGTTTATCCCAATCATGGAGAGATTCATCTACCCATACATCAGAAAATTCACTCCTTTCAGAGCAATCACCAGAATTACCTTCGGGTTCTTCTTCGCTACCGGTGCCATGGTATACGCCGCTGTCTTGCAGCACTACATCTATATGGCCGGTCCGTGCTACGACAACCCAATGAAGTGTGCTGCCTCGAATGGTAAGATCCCAAACCACGTCCACATTGCCATCCAAGTTCCGGCCTACGTCTTGATCGCTCTTTCGGAAATCTTTGCTTCCATCACTGGTTTGGAGTACGCCTACACCAAGGCCCCAGTCAGTATGAAGTCTTTCATCATGTCCATGTTTTTGGTCACCAACGCCTTTGGCTCCGCCTTGGGGATTGCCTTGTCACCTACCGCAGAACACCCTAAATTGGTCTGGACCTACACCGGCTTGGCATGCTCGTGTTTCGTTGCCGGTTGTTGTTTCTGGCTCTGCTACCACCACTACAACGACAGAGAAGAAGAGCTCAATGCTTTAGAATATACCCAGAATGCCAAGGACGACGAATTCACCAGTGAGCAGCTCAAACATGCCTCTGATGATCTCATGCCGTTCAAGTCTGCCAAAAGTTTGTAGGTATTATCTTACTGCTGGTGAGTTTAATCCATTGTTCATGTTCATTGATCTGTAGGATTTGCAAATTGCCCTCAATGTACGAGAGATGCCCTGCTTGGCTCCCAATATAGCATGCTATGGAATATTCAATGCCTAAACACTGTGATAGGATCCACATTCGAACTTCATTCTTGGCCTACCCTACATATATACCCTTCCATTAAATTTCTGTAATCATAAAATTGTGTAGCTTGAAATCATTCTGATCTGTTTCATGCTTCCCGGAATCTAGGAAACATCAATACCTTAGGTCAAGTCAATAACCATTCTCCCGGAAACCCTACCGTTGATCATATCGTCAAGAATCGATTGGATGTCCTCCATGGGCTTCACTTGGACCGGCGGAACAACCTTACCCCGAGCCACAAATTCCAATGCCTGGATAATATCCTGACGGGTACCCACAAACGAACCTCTCACCTGGATACCAGTAAGAATAAGCTTGGAAGGGGGGAATTTTAGCTCAGCCCCGGCCTTTGGCAAGCCAACGCAGACAATCACACCTTGTAAGCCCAAATAGTCAATGGCCTGGTTGTACGAGGACTCCACCGGGGCAAACATAATTGCCGCATCAGCACCGCGGCCACCGGTGATTTCCTTAACCTTAGCCACCACATCCTTGGTTTTCAAGAAGTCGATAAAGGCATCGGCACCCAACTTGTTGACTACCAAGTCCTCCTTATCCGAGCCGGCATCAATGCCGATAACTCTCAAACCCAATGACGTAGCGTATTGGATACACATTGACCCCAACCCGCCGCCAGCACCGGTAATAACCACCCATTGACCAGCTTTCTTCCCCGACGTCATTAACGCTTTATACGCTGTCACACCACCGCACAAAATCGGCCCGACCAAGGTAGTGTCCTTCACTTCCGGGATTGGAATGATGTATTTTTCCTTGATGGTAATGTACTGTTGCCAAGTACCGTCGACAAAGGAGCCGTAAAACGGCGACTTTGGACAATAAACCTCACCATCTGGTAACCCACAGGCGTGGCAGGTGCGACATGGGTTAGAAACAAGCGGAACCCCCACCTTGGTGCCTAATGGATACTGTTCGGTACCCGTCACTTTCGAACCGTGCTTAACAATATAGCCAGAACCTTCGTGGCCAGCCACCTGTACCTGCATACCAATATCCCAGTGAGCCTGCAAGAGAGATAAGTCAGAGTGACAAACCCCCGAGGAGGTCAAACGGACTAGCATCTCATCCTCGCCACATTCAGGAACTGGGTACTTGGTGTCTATCTTGACAATTGGGCTTTCACCTTTGGTGACAACCACCACGGCTTTTTGGATTTTTGGGATAGTGTATTCTTCGGTCATTAGACTGTTAACTAACGGTGTGAGGTAGAGTTTGTCAGTAGCTTTGGCCTGGGGATGAACCCCGTCTTTATATATACGGCACAACTCTCCACACACCGAGGGGGGCGATTTTCACAGGGAAGTTTTCGAAATTAATTGGTACTGTTCGTCTACATAGATTATTGGCTCCGTGCAGATGTGATTCAATCTTGACGGAGATAAGGTCCCGCCAGTTGCCCCTCTAAATGACGGGGTAACGGAAAATCGTAATTCTTGGTACATATTTACGCATTTCCGCGTAACCCCTCAATTGGAAAAGGCAAATAGTATCGTAATGAATTACCCACTAAGCCTAGTCTCCTGCATACCATTCTTGTGACGCCCAACGAAGGTATGGGCCAAATTGAGGGGGGGGATGATAATCTACCCCACTTCCCTGCAGCTCTCAATAGGGTCTTATCTTCGGAGTTGGCGGATCCGTTATAACCGTATGCAGGGATGCCCAAATAAGCACAATATCATGTAGTAACACTTTTGCCTCGGCTCGGTTACAGAGCAAGGCTTCTTTTTTCTGGCTCTTAACCTTAAGAGAACCAGTATTTTTGCACTGTATAGATGGCTTTCGCCCGATGGCTGTGTTTTGGCTCACGCGAATCAAATAATACATATATTGATATATGATCTAAAATCGGTATCAGCTCCAACAGCACCCAATCCATGGGATGTTTATTTACCTGCCCATCAGTATGAAGCGGGGAATTAGGTCCTTGGTATGCGCCGTCTCGGTCACTCCCTGTTATTTCCCCTCGTTTTTAATACTGAATCACTATGCGTGTCGGACAAGCCTGCACCCCACATGAATTTCTCTTTTGGGAATATCCTGGCCTATTGCCTACGTTCTATTTCATGACGAATCTACGAATTCTTGTCTTGTAATAGTATAATTCTTACATTTTGCCCTCTACTCTCCATGGATCGAGACGCTTTATGTCAGATATGGGAAGTAACCACAAGCGTTATAGAGTGTCGGCCCGTTAACTATGCCTAAATTTAAAGTTGCCACTACCTGTGACTTATAATTGAGGGGTAAACTTCATTATTCCCATGAAGGCTTAATACTTTGATGTCATCGGATTTAATGCGATACAATTTGGCTAAAATTGTGATAACCAGCTATCAATGTGACCCACACACCTATATACCTTACATCCCCTTTGCTTTCACCTAAATATCGATGAACTTACTCTTCTCCGTTACCCTTATTCTAAGTTAATAACCACCCTCCCCGAGATCTTGCCCGCTACCATATCTTCCAAAATCTCCCGAATGTCGTCCATTGGCCTCACCTCCATAGCTGGAGTAACCTTCCCCCTTGCGACAAAATCTAACGCCTCGATAATATCAGTGCGTGTTCCAACGAGCGATCCTACTACTCTAATACCCGTGTGAATCAAAGTGGCCGGTTCAACCTGCAATACTGTGCCCCTCTTTGGCAACCCTACACATACAAGCATACCCTGCAATCCCAAGTAATGGATAGCCTGGTTGTAAGATGCCTCAGATGGGGCCAACATGATTGCCGCATCAGCGCCTCTGCCGGTGATCCGTTTGACTGCCCCCACCACATCCTCTGTCTCCATATAGTCAATAAATTGCTCCGCCCCCAATCTTTCAGTGATTAGCGTCTTCTTCACAGTACCAGTGTCGATGGCGATCACTCTCAACCCAAGAGCTACCGCATACTGCACTGCCAAGGTGCCCAACCCGCCTCCAGCGCCGGTGATAACCACCCACTGGCCGGACTTTTTATTAGCGGTGAGCAACGCTTTGTAGGCCGTGACACCACCACAAAGCAACGGCCCCACGGTCTGGGAGTTTTTGATCTCATCAGGGATTGGAATCACGTAGCTGACGTTCACGGCAATGTACTGCTTCCAAGTACCATCAATAACGACACCATGGAAGGGCGAATTTGGGCAGTAGACCTCCCCATCCGGCAACCCACAGGCGTAGCAAGAACGGCACGGATTGGAGACAAGAGGAACCCCGACACGGGTCCCCAAGGGATACTGTGTGGCATCAACCTGGGATCCGTGCTGGACAATATACCCCGAGCCTTCGTGGCCAACCACTTTAGCCACTATCGCGCCACCCCAAATACCTTGCAAGGTAGACAAATCGGAATGGCAGACACCCGAAGAGGTGAGTCGGATAAGCACCTGGTTAGGCTTCACTTCAGGAACGGGGTAGTCGTTGACGATTTTTACCAACTGGTCTCTGCCAGATGGAAGAGCTACAATGGCCCTTTGGACGCTTGGAATATTTATACTCATGGGGGATGGATACTGTTAATGTGCCGATTGAAAGTTTCCCGAAGAAGGTAATAGCTATATACTGCTGGTCTTGATGCCCAAAACTTTTTTTTTACAGTAAATTCTCAATGATTGTGTAAGCTTACTAAACGGAGCCGCATGGGCGATATGTGGAGAAGAAAGTGACTACGGGTATGCAGATATCCGAAATGCACCGGGATGCGGGAAGTAGTTTCCTTCCACTCGAGATAAAGGTGTAGGAGCCAAGCACTAGTCAGATTGGTTGGATAAATTAGTGCGGGTTTTTGTCATAAATGACGGTTTTACAACTGATTTCAGGTAGATATCCGGCTTGGGGATAGCTCCATACCTACTGGACGGTCCGGGTGTTAACCCCGTTGAGTGTGGGTCGTACGCTGACCGGTCCACTTTGTGCAAGGCGGTTTTCCTGCCCACGACGTTAAATAAAAGGCTGCACGCCGGATCACGGCTTGTTTTGTTTCCCTATTACGGTAATGAAGGTGACGATAAAGCAATGGCATCAGGTGTCAACCTGGCATTGGAAGTTACCTGCTGATGATGACCTCTGTGGTATTTGCAGGGTCTCGTTTGATGGAACCTGTCCGTCGTGCAAGTACCCCGGAGACGACTGCCCGCTTGGTATGTATGCTTCCATTCTGCCATTGTACAGTACTAACGTTTAGTGATTGGCGACTGCAACCACAATTTTCACATGCACTGCGTTTTAAAATGGCTCGAGACCGAAACTTCCAAGGGAACGTGTCCGATGTGCAGACAGGTGTTTCGGATGAAGGGTGGCGATGTGCTCTCCGCGGATAATACCAATCAGAGTGAGATAAATAACGTTTCCCAGGGCAGTGACGCCGTCATGGATGCTCTTGATTAAGCCAATTTTTGAGTCTACTTATCGAAGTACTCTCTGAGCTGAGCCCGGAGGATGACGCCTGAAATTCTCGCTACGCTGCATGAGGTGTTAAGCTTCCCGAAGGACCAAGACGCGGGCCAGAGACCTGAAGGGGAACCACAACGGCCAGTCAATACAATGACAAGCTAACTGAATGTTATCATCAGCCAACTTGGGATCTGTCATTATGAACCCGTCCAACTTGAACAGTACATACGAGTTTAGAGTGACTCGTGTTCGAGATCTAAGGGCAAAAATACTAAGTTTGAGCACCCAATGGGAACAGAACCAATGTCTTTCCTTGGAGCCAATAGAAGATTTTTAAGTACCAGTTGAAAACTTTATTTAACGAATCGCACCGCAGCCAGGATAGCCACAGTTTAAGGATTATGAATATTCCGTAAATTACCTTTCAGAAGTAGCACCAGCGATTTAGTAAGACTTTCAGTCTACCTTCAGGAGCAGTTACCTTGCAGCAGTCGTACCGAGTAAACATCACCAGTTATTCCCAATACACGCCTTGTCGTTAGCATTTGATTAAATTAAACCTAGTTAACACCTTTCCCCGTCGTTTATGGAGTCATACTATTCGAGGGTATCTAAGTACTATGCACGTTCTCCACTAGACTTAGAATGCTAATTTCTCTGATTGTCATCCCACTGGATCACTCCCCCGTGTTTCAAGAAGTAAGATAAATTTGGATAGAGCTGAAGTTTGCATGTTTCTTTAAACTGTCTTAATCAAAAACATGAGCCCATGTGAACCATAGACCTTTAGTATCCGGCATTTAATGGAGCCGCCCTCGATGCAGGCAAGAATGTCCGATAAGATCCCGCCGCCAAGTTATCCACTGCTACTTTCTCAATTCACTCGTTAATCCTATAAGATCTCTGGGAGTCCTCTATCCTGTTACTGGAAGTATTTATCGTCGCATAATGAGCATTCAAGATCCACCTGGGGTATCTCAGGCGACAATCACTACACCCGTTCCCGAGGAATTAGGCAATTCACATCCCCCGCTCTCCAAGGGCAAAAATAAGAAGAAGAAGAGAAAGAAGAAAGCATCTACTCCAGTAGTGGGTGCAATAGACCTGTCACCGGTTACTGATTCCACTGATGTGGCTACCCCGGAACCGGTGGGGCAAGATGAACTTGACATGATCCAGTCGTTGCTTCTACTGGCGTTGAGAAAGACCGGGGATGAAGGTGTGGAAAATTCTGAGAATCATCTTGATGAAACACTAAGTGAGATTCAGGCAATTGAAATGTCCAAAGACGTCCTCAGTGCAGCTGATGAGGTGGACGGGGTGGAAGACAATGTCACCCTGATTGCTGTGGTGAAGTCAGTTGAGGGGATACAGACGAGCGACCATTCCAAGGTGGATGCAGAACATCAGCTAGATTCAGAGAATTTAGATCATACAGGTACAGTAGGGTTTGGGTCTGTTGATACAGCCATTGTTCATACAGTCCCTTTGGAAAGCAAATCCACGGATTGTCCTTCGAAATCGTTAGATGCCAATTCTACTAGCGTTATTATGAAAACTTTGGAAGTCAATTCTGCTGGTTCTCCACAAGGGAGCATCGATCCAACCTCTGATGCTGGAATGCGCACCCTAATGGATGAAGAAAAAGTACAAAAGTCCAATGACGATGTTGTCACTTTTATTGACAAAGATCACATCCTCGACTCTTCTCTGATAGATCACATCCTTAATTCTTCTTTAATAGATCCCCTGGATGTGTGTTCAAACCCCCGGGATCCGCTTCCTGAGCCCTCCTCTATCATTGTGGATGGAAACAAACCTCATGCTCAGACAGAAATATCCATTTCTGCTAACCTGATAGTACCTGAAACACCCCCAGTTGACAAACAAAGCCCGGCAAGCCTTGTCACAGAAATTACCGAATTTGAGCCGCCTGTTTTAGAGCCCATTTCTGGTCCTGTTCCTATTGACCCGGCCAAGACCGAAGCGTCTGCTCAATCAGACCCCACTGCCAGTCCCGCCCCACCAAACATACCACCGTCGCTCGATGAGATCCCTGTCGATGAGATCCCTGTCGATGAACCCCCTATCGAAAGCTACTCTCTGACGCCAGGCCCATACACTCTAACCCCCCTCATCACCGATATGCCCTTTGACGGCTTAGAGCTGTACCCAACCTGCATCGCCTCCTACAACCGCAGCATCTACATCGGCACCTCGAACGGCACAATTCTCCATTACTTCCCCGTCGACGATGACGTGCCGTCCTATTTATTAGTCTCGCAGCAGAAAGTTTCCCAGTCGCGCTCCCGCTCGGTCAAGGAAATAATCATCTTGCCGCACTTGGAATTTGCCATTGTGCTCAGCGGGGGCATTGCCTCTGTGTTTCAGCTTCCAGAGCTCACCCCGGCCAACATCGGCAGGGTCAAGGATGTGGTGGACATTAGCATTGACACCTCCCTCTCGGACGTTTCGCCCTCCGTTGAACTTGCAGTTTTTACAAAGTCCATGATCCGCTTGATCTCCGTCACCAAAAAAGGCTTGAAGCTCGTGAAAGACGTCACGTACCCCAACTCATACAGAGGCGTGCGGTGTGCGCAATACGCAATCGTCGCCACCCCCTCGGACTACGACTTGATCGACTTGGTGAATGTGCAGAAAATCCCGCTCTTTCCTGTTAGCTCCCCCGACGCACAGATCAAGCCGATAATCCTCCCTGTCTCTTTCAGATCTCAGACTGGAGAGTTTTTGCTCGTTTCAGGAGGACCAGACGTGGTAGACCTGGCAATGGGAACCGTCGTCAACACCTATGGCGACGTTACCAGAGGCACTATCCCCTGGGAGAGGTTTCCAGGGTCTATCGCGATGGACTACCCCCACGTGTTGGCCGTCTTGGATGGAAAGGAGGTGCGGGTCACGAGTTTGCACAACCAGGAAGTGGTCCAGCGAGTCACCTTTAAGGGACTATCCGATAAGCGGGGCTTGCGCGTTGCCAATGTATTACATGCGTTTACCACCAACGGTTCTGGAGACCTGTTTCAGGAGGTTAGTTTGGTGGGGGATTATGCCCCGGGCGAGGTAACCAGCTCGGTATCGTTTTCCAACACCCTTTTGTACCACAACAGCAAGGTGTTTTTGGTCCAAGCCATTCCCAGACTTCTGCGGATTTTACGGCATATACAGCACCCGGAGCTGGTGGAAGTTAACGCTTTGCTAGATGAACTCAAAGGCGTCGATAAAACAACCACCGAAGGGGCAAGCGAACACCGGTTCATCAGTCTTGTGATCGGGTTTGTGGTGCTTCTCCAGGGTAAGTTTGACGAGGCATACGAAATCTGGATTCTTGGCTTGGATGAGATAATGCCCTTGGACCCTCGGTTGTTGATCTACGTCTCCCAGACGGCGGAGGTGGAGATTTACGGTGCCTTGCTGGTTCCACGGTGTTTAGTGATGTTGGTAGATAAGCTAGTGGATAAGATGGCCCAAACTGAGGGGTTTAGAGATTTCTACAAACTCCATTTGTGGCAGCTGCTTGAGAAGCGCTCTGACACCTCTATGAAGTTTTCCTACCAATCAGATATCTCCAAAACATTGGAAGTGGCAGCAATTGACCTTCTATTGACGTCCGATAATGATTCCGAGCTCCTCTCGTTTGTGAACGAAAAAGTCGTGAAATGTCAATACACAGAGATTGCGAGCCGTTTAGAGAGCAAGAAAAAGTACTATGTTTTATCTCAGTTCTACAAATCAAACGGCTTTCCGACAGAGTTTCTTGAGCTCTGGCGGCGCTTGATTACCGGTGAGACCCACGACACGATGTTCAAAGCCGCTGGTGCTCTCGCGGTAATGAAGGACTACATTGTGGAGCATGTCGCGGATGAAGCGAGCTTCTGGGAGTTTGCGCCATGGCTCTTGCATCAAAACCCGAACATTGGTTATTCGTTGTTTGTGGATAAACACCTCAGGGTTCTACTCCGGCCCGATACGGTGTTATCCCACTTGATAACAGCACTGGAGAAGGGTTTGCGTCTCAGATATCTCTTGCACTTGGAGGAGACTGGAGTCGACTATGTCGGCGAGTTGTGTCTAGAGTTGGCTGAAAGTCTTGCCGACGAGCTCGACCTGGGTCAGCGTGTTTCTGCCTTTATTGAAACCTACCAGAAGGTGGAAAAGCACCGGATACCGTACTTGCAATATGTCAAGTTGGAAAGCCAGCGGTCGATCAAGCAGAGCCACCTAGGCGACTTTTTTGACCACCACCAGCGGTTATATTCGTTGATTCCTCGGTTTGTTGCTTCTGAGGGGTATGGTGAACGAGGCGAAAAGTTGCGGAGTCTATTGGCCTCCTACTTACCGGCACTCGCCTATCCCTTGGCCAATATGTCGCTCCAAGACCAAAACTTTGAGCAAGTATTGGAATACCTCTTTGCATTGGGAGACTACGAAACCTGTGAATGGTATGTTGCCAGGGGCTCTCTTCCGCAGCTCAGATTTTCAAGCGACGACCCGTTCCCGCGAAAGAAGTTAACCAATCAGTTGTTTCAGATGTACTTGACGCTCGGCGACTCCTGTTTGCTTGAAAACTTCTTGCTGCTTTTTGGCAACCAGTTGGACTTTGTCAACGTTTTACAGACTATCGATAGCGGATACTCCATTCTTAACATGTCTGACATGTTGACCCGGGGTTTGATTGACGTTACAAGGGCGAAGCAGAATAGTGTGTTGCAAAAGAATTTGGCCAGAGCTGAAATGATAAAGTACCGCGAGCTCGGCAACGTGTTGCGTGGATTTGCTGAGGAGAAGGAATAAAGGACTGTTGCTGCTAGAAGATATTAGACTAAACTCGCACGAGGTCCAGGAAGTGCCTTCCAGGAAAGCATACGAATTTGAATGATAGCATACGAGTTTAATAGTAAGCGGTCCTTAGTTGTAATGGAATTATAACTAGTGAGTGTCTTCAATTGGAAAATATTCCACGACAAAGTGCAGTCTCAATATAAATCCACGGAACCTGAATGAGGACGTCCCTATGTTTCTGCCCTTTGGTTATCTGCAGAGGTCTACGCGATCTGAATTACTCCGTAGATGTCTATATATACAAAATCGAATAAACCACCAAGTCAGATTCCCGGCTTAGATAAATCCTAGCAATCTCAAAATGTAATCAACAAACATGCCGGCGAAGAAAACATGGCCGGTATTGATGTTTGATCTGAACCACCGACCGCAATCAGCGACATTGTCTAAGTCCACTCGTCTGATCATGTTAAACACTCTGTAACCACCGATCAAGCCCCCGACCAAGAATCCAGGGCCCATACCGTTCATGGCCCCAGCAACCGCAAAGGACGACATCTGTATGACAGTCAAACCGGTAAAGATTTTCTTAGAGCTGTCACCCCAGGCCAAAGCCGTGGATTTGATGCCTGCCTTGACGTCAAACGCCTTGTCCTGGTGAGCATAGATGGTATCATAGGTCATGCACCAAGCGTAACTAGAGATGTAAAGCGGAATCATAACAGACCAGTCCCAGAGTCCCATTGCTGGAAAGCCCAACAAGGAACCCCAGTTGAAACACGCGGATAACGCGGCCTGCGGGTAGTAGGTGAATCGCTTGAACAACGGATACGTTCCCACAAGCACCAAAGAAGCGGCTCCTAGAAAAAAACAGTCGAGGGGCAACTGCAAGAGCACGAGCAACCCCACGGCGAGTTGGGCCCCCAAGAACGCTACGGCCTGCGGCACAGACACTCTACCGGAGGCAATTGGTCTCTCCACAGTCCTTTCCACCTTGTTATCCAAGTCGCGGTCCAAAATGTCATTGATGGTGCACCCAGCGCCTCTCATTACGACTGCGCCCACACCAAAAACTGCCAACATCCACAATGTCGACGCTAATGGCGCGGAAAGCTGGAACGCCGCCATGGTGATCCCCCAGGTGCACGGCGAGTAGAGTAACCATGTGCCGACCGGCTTTTCCAAGCGCATTAGCTCAGCGTACGGAATCCATTTAGCCGGGAGCTTGGCGACAAATGGTTCGAGTGATGCAAGCCGAGCAAGCCGAGCAGCCTCAAGCTGTTCTGGCGAGAAGACAGGTTTGGGTTTGGGTGCCGCCTTTTCGGTGGACAAGGCACGCGAGAAGCGAGGAAGGGCCGTGCGCGCAAAAGAGGATGCACTAAAGCGCACGCTGGGTCTCAAAAAGAGTTTCATCATGATGTGTCAGGTGTGAGAAGGATTGAATTGGAATCGCTTCGGTGTTTACTATGGCCAACCAATTTTTCAAGGTCCGCACCCATGCGCGTCACATGTGCCGAAAGCGGACAGACGCATGTTAGACTTGTAGCCCTGGCGGATTAATCGCACCAAGGGGTTGGCCAACATCCTCTCTCAGCCAATTCTCGTAGGTGATAGACATCTGACGGGATAGATATTTGATTTTTGACAGCTTAGAGTCGCTGGAATAACATTTAGTTAAAAAAAAAAAGTGAAACAACCAATAACTCGAGACAGAATAGAGCGATAAGTAACTAGCTCGTGCCTAGGTTGGACCATCTGCGGATCACAAACTGAGAATTCCGGACCAACGAAGAGTACGTACATGATATAATTGGTTGTTGCTAGTGGAATGTCGTAACGCTGTCTAAAAAGACAAGCACTAGCGGTTTAGTAAACTTCAACGCTGTCATCGTTCAGCCCCCGGATTGATTCCAGGCTGGTGCAAAAAATGCTGCTTACTCCGAGGATGCCAATAAATCTTTGTATACACAATAATTACAGGTTTGCCCTGTATTTTATTCCACACAAAGTTCATCCTTAGCTGAAGGGCGTGGCACTACGTGCGTAGCCATAGGTGCATTAGATGGCGGTTTACCGTTTCGAAGCCACTTTTGAGAGAAGAGGGTTGTTGTGAAAAGATCTCATTTGGGAATATGTTTGACAGAGATCTGTGGTTATGAACCAAGGTCTCGTGTAAAAAATAGATCGCCTCGTGGTACAAACAGTGCGTGCGGGAAGTATTCAGAATATCGGGCAGGCGTCTCAGACCACGGTTAAACCATTCCGTTGAGCAACCTGCGCATATACGGCGTTCCCGTCGGGAGAAATATTACTTAAATAAGAAGTACAAGCATTCAGCTACATGGAAACCATATTTAGCCTCGCTACCCTTTTGTGCGAGTAGCCGTGACGTTCCTGTGAGGCTACTCGATTAATATGGCCCTGGTCATATTCTCAGCGCTATGCATGTCTAGAGCGTAACGAGCTCGTGACCCAGCACGTCGGTCCACCAGTATATGGCTTTAGGGTATAAGGGTCCATGTAGAGGATACCAGTCGCTTGTCAGGTGATGTAAGTTGCAACTGGCGTAAAATTCCAAATCCAAACCGAGCCAGGCCCAGAAATAATAGTGCCTGAAAGTTTATAGGCCTTCGTGTCAGGTGGTTTCCCAAAGCGGCACTGCTTCTGACCAGTGGCACGTCTTTGTTTTAAGACATATCCCATTGTGTGATGTGCCTGGTCACTGGCTCGCTCAAGTATGGCAATAACCCCACTGCACTATCGGAACATGTACGAGCGTAGTAACCTGTACCTTCAGCTATGTAGCTCGCTGTAGTATCTGAGGCTAGGTTTGGTTTTCGGCTTTTCAGATTAGAGCTAGTGTCTGCCTTCTCACCGCTCCAAACGGTACACTCGGAAATACTTATTTTTACAACATACGGTACTGCGACACTTCGAAGGATACAGATTAATCTTTTAACTAATGACATATGCATGTATCTAAAACATAAAGGAAAAGTGGTATCTTAAAAGAACAAGGTTGACAATAAAGCCAACAAGAATGAAAAATTGTGCGGAAGAAGGAAAAAGGATGGTGGCCAGCACATTATACTAGACAAATTAAGCGGTACAGGTGTTAATCCAAGTAGTGACCCAAGTAGTGGAAGTAGTTGGTCCCTCGCTGCCAGAGGAAGTTGGGGCAGACGAGGCTGGACCAGAAGAAGCTGGACCAGAGGAAGTTGGAGCAGAAGAAGCTGGACCAGACGAGGCTGGACCGGAAGTAGCTGGACCAGAAGAAGATGGACCGGAAGTAGCTGGACCAGAAGAAGCTGGACCGGAGGAAGTTGGAGCAGAAGAAGCTGGACCGGAGGAAGCTGGACCAGAGGAAGTTGGAGCAGACGAGGCTGGACCGGAAGTAGCTGGACCAGAAGAAG